AATTGTTCATCATCTTGTCAAGAAATTTTCTCTTCCTATTTCCTTGCATAAAAATCTGTCTTCATTATGTCATTCATGTTCTATTAATAAAGCACATCAACAACCTTTTCGTCACAAGTGTCCAAAGTCATGAACCTCTTGAACTTATTTACACGGATGTGTGGGGACCCTCTAGTTATATTGGTATTGATGAATCATGATATTATCTTATTTTTGTTGATCATTATACAAAATATATATGGTTTTATCCCATGACCACCAAATCTGGTGTTTCTACAATTTTTTCGCACTTCAAAAAATTTGTTGAAACTCGCTTTCAAAAATCCATCAAAATAATATATTAAGATAATGGAGGTGAGTTTATTGCTTTAAAATCGTATCTCTTACTTCATGGTATAACTCATCTCACCACTGCCCCTGACACTCCACAAAAATGGTGTCTCTAAACGTCGTCATCGTCATCTAAGTTAAAACGGGCCTCACCCTCCTCTATGATGCAAATCTTGATTTTTCATACTGGTACCATGCTTTTCAAATAGCCTTTTATCTCATAAACCGACAACCCACGTCTCTCCAACAAAATAAATCACCTTTTGACGCTCTTTTTGGTCAATCACCCAATTATTTAAAATTTAAAAATTTTGGGTGTATTTGTTATCCTCTCACAAGAGCCTTTAACTCAAACAAAATGCAGCCAAAATCCAAAGAATGTATATTTCTCGGATATTCACCAACTCAAAATGGCTACAAGTGTTTTGAGCCCAAAACAAAAAAGTTCTTCATCTCTCGTCACATGTTATTCGATGAAAATCGAATTCACTTCAGCGAATCTTCCCCCGTCCCTTCCAACCTCAACTCGAACCTTCAAGACCCTCATCAACTGCTCTCTCTTCACTTTGGTGCCCAGCCGACTGCAATGCCCTCCTCAACGGTCTTCAACGTATCGACACCCTCGCTGCCTCCGGAGGTTCACCTACCATCGTTGCGTCATCCCCAAGTATTTGTGTACCATATGCTCATTTCATTTCTGAGTCCTTGCAAGTTGTAGATAACAACCCCACCCATCTGAATACATCTCCAGCTGACAATCAGACTGGGTCTTTACCAGATTTTATAACGTCCCTTCACCTCACCAAAATTTCCCTACAACTAATCCTCTCCCAAATCCGAATCTCACAACCCATAACCCAACAAGCCCTCCACCTCAACGCACTCACATCATGACCACAAGATCAATGAACCAAATTTTTAAACCTAAACAAATCCACATCGTGTCAAAACATTCCCTCCCTCAAACCATTGAACCAACAAGTGTGAGCCAAACCATCTCTCAACCTCATTGGCGTGAGGTCATGTCCACAGAGATCACTGCCTTGATGAAACATGGGACTTGGGATTTAGTTTTACCCACTTCTGAATGTAAACCAGTGGGGTGTAAGTGGATATTTAGGGTAAAATGGAAGGATGATGGTTCTGTTGATAAATTTAAAGCCAGACTCGTGGCTAAGGGATACAATCAACGTCCTGGTGTTGATTACACAGAGACCTTTAGCCCTGTAGTTAAACCAGCCACTATTAGAGCCGTATTATCTATTGCAATGATGAATGGATGGGATCTAAGGCAAATGGACGTTAATAATGCCTTTCTAAATGGTGCCTTAACTGAAACTGTTTTTATTGCACAACCTCCTAGATTCAAATATTTATCCAAACCCCATCATGTGTGCAGACTAAACAAGGCTATCTATGGGCTCAAACAAGCCCCACGAGCTTGGTACACTGCCCTCAAAACTACAATTCTTTAATTGGGATTTCAAAACTCCAAGGTAGACTCTTCTCTCTTCATATACATCTACGACTCCACTCTTTGCTACCTTGTGGTGTATGTTGACGATCTTATCATCACAGGAAATAATTCATCTCTCGTGACCTCCATCATTAAACAGTTGGCTGACATGTTTTCTCTTAAGGATATGAGCCCCCTTCATTTTTTCTTGGGGATTGAAGTCATTCCTACTAGATCAGGATTATTTCTCTCCCAACATAAATACATCCGTGAGCTTTTAGACACTACAAGTATGAGTGGTGCGAAAGATGTCTCAACCTCTCTTTCCACCACCCAACCTCTACAACTGATTGATGGAACGACTGTTGTAGACAACTCTGAGTTTCGTTGAATAATTAGTAGTCTTAAATATTTGTCCTTGACACGTCCAGATATCTCTTTTGCAGTCAACAAACTATCTCAATTTATGCACAAGCCCACTGCAAATCACTGGACAACAACAAAATGGCTCATTCGTTACTTAAAACAAACCATTTTTTATGGTATTCAGATCCACAAAGCTGGACCTTCTATTCTAAGGACATACTCCGATGCCGATTGGGCAGGAAATATGGATAACCACACGTCAACCTCTGCTTACATAAGTTTCTTGGGTCCGAATCCAATTTCACGAACCTCCAAGAAATAACGTGCAGTTACAAGATCCTCAACCGAGGCTGAATACCGGGCCCTAGCAAATACGGCTTCCGAGACAATGTGGTTATCTACCCTTTTTAAAGAACTTCACCTTTCACTCAAAGACTCTCCTCATCTGTTATGTGAAAACATTGGAGCCATACATCTAAGTTTTAACCCAATCAATCATTCACGCATGAAACACATTCAAATTGACCTTCACTTTGTGCGTGACTTAGTTAAAAAAGGAAGCCTTCAAGTCAGACATGTTCACACTCAAGATTAATTAGTTGACCTCCTCACCAAGCCACTATCAAAACAGCGTACAGAATTGCTGCGTACCAAGATTGGTCTTGCCGATGAAAGCCAATTTTGCGAGGGCGTATAAAGGAAACAAGCGTGGATTCTGCTCAATCAAACCAGAGCACGTTCAACCTAAAATCATGACAAACATTTGGTCATAAATTCCATACGTGTAACTGATTCTATCCTTGTATTGTACACCTGTCCACTGTAATCTCTAGCACAATTCTACCATTATCATTTATGTATTTCCTAAATTAATTTCTCTCATTCTTGTATATAACTACATAGAATCTCTATCAATAAAGTGTGAGAAAATATTCATTGAAACCTCTGCAGTGCTTATCTTCTATATAGGAACTCATATGTCATACGTTCTTTCAAAGCGATTGGAAGGGGGTTTCGACGTAAGGCTAAAGAAAGACTAGTCGTATTCTATTGATCTCTTTTGTGTAGTACTGGAGGCTTTTGCTTCGAGGTTGTGCCATTATTAAGAAGTTGAATTTCTTTCGTTTGAGGATTTAAGTTCTAGGAATCCCTTGACTATGTTCTTTGTTGCAATTGTTTTACCAACTAGTGTTCGCTTTAAATCTTCATCTTTTGTAGTTTGTATGAGACTAGCTGATGTGCTGCTCTTCAATAGGGCTATAATCAATGTATAAGATAGTTTATATGTGAAAAGTACTGATTCCAGGTTGCTATTATGCTTCATGTTCTTTATTAATGTGTTATTTGACTTTGTTTGATATTTTCTTTTGCATGCACCAAAGCAAACATGTGAATTACTTAACAGGGTTGTAAATAAGATAAGATGAGCCATATTGTAAACTACTCGAGTTCGACTTAGTCAAAGTTTGATCAACTTGGATTTTCAAAAGCGCCCCTAGGCGCAAAGAGGCAAAGAAGAGAATGTCCGCCTTGGTCAAAGCGAGGCGTTTTACAAGAAGCGATGTGAGGCGCGCGCCTATGGGCTTTAGGCGTTTGGCGACGGGGGCGTCTGTGATTAAAACCCTAACTTTCAAAATTTGTGTTTGTCTCCGTAAATATGATGAAATCTGCAGAGTAGTCAAGTGAAACAAATCAACGGAGTTTTTTTTTCTGAGCTCTGTTTTAAATTTGGTTGAATCCTTTGGTGGTGGCGGGTAATCACTAGTTAAGGTTTATCTCTTTTGATTGACATTTTGACAAAGGAAAGGAAAGGAGTATAGGGGCAATGAAATAGCACATAAGAAGATGAAAGCAATATTGAAACATCACAATCAAATGAATTTTTTACAGGGAAAAATGACCAATTTAACAACTATAATGCACAGATAGATGTGCTGCATTTAACAGCAAGATTAAATGCATTGAATTAAACGAGGAACCAGCTCACATCTCTATATTGACTGATGCATGTATCCAGTTGTATGAGAGAAACAACATTTGAAAAGAAAGGAAAGAGAGTTGGGTTAAGCAAAAAAGTCACTCTTCCATTATAATTATCAATAAATTACAAAATAGTCGCTATTGAGGAGTAAAAATATATTATTCTCATTAAAAAAAATCGAGTTTGAGTAGTTGTGTTTGCACTAAAAAATATTAGTGTGTTGTCAAAGTATTGGTTTACTTTATATCATAGAGTATAAATAGTGCGCCTCGTATACCAAAGGTGTGCGCCTACGCCTATGCCTGGGCTCGTGAGACCTTTTGCACCTTGTGTCCTTAAAAACCAAGTGGTCAACACTTGAATTGAATGGATTCGAATCGAGCTTGAACTCAACTTGAGTTCTTAACGAGCCAAAATGAACTACTTGACACCTAACTCGAGAAGCTCATGAACAAGTCGAAAAATAATATATTAAAATTTTAAATTAAATTATTAATAATATTAATATTTATATGTTGTTTTTTCCTTCAAAAATACAATATAAGACTTTCATATACTTAAGATTCAAGTTTGAACTCGAGTTCGAGCTTCAATCTATATTTCGTGTTCAAGTTTTTTCGAGCTTAAATCGAACCTCAATTTTTGATTTCGAATCGAGCTTAAAAATTTTAAGCTTACAACTTTCGAGTCGAGTTGAGCTTTAATTTTTTACTTCGAGTTTGAGTTGAACTTAACATTTTTCAAATTGCGAGCTTTCAAGTCGAATTCAATATTACTCAAGCTCGACTTAGCTCGTTTACAAACCTATTACTTAATACACAAGGGAGAAACACTTTGTAATCATTTTTCCATCTGGCATGTCACCGCATCTGTTAAACAATCAATTGACATTTTGATACTGTTACCAGTAATCATTACAAGAACAAAACCCATCTTTGAACTTGTGAAACCGAACTCGATCCCTCACGATTATCTGTCGCTCATATATCTTTGATACAAGCTTGATCACCACATGACAATCTCCACATATTCTAAGATTCTTAATCACAAGAATTGGGGTTCCTTCACTTGTACTAATCAAACCAAAGGCCACTGCCAACTTCTCACTATGATAACACAGTTGGTTCTCCTTCTCCTCCTCCCCTATGTCATGAAGAACAAAACTAGTCTCAGCCACATAGCCTAACTCTTTAATCTTGAATATGATATCATCCAATTTCAAATATATCTCTTTCCATCTGGCATTGCTCTTATCACCGGTGAAAAACTTGTGCATCAAACCATTCACCTCAATGTAGCTAAAACCGGGCACCTTCTTAACATCCCGGTTTTTCATGGCATCCCTCACCCTACCAACATCATTCCATCTCTCATGTGCAGCATAAACGTTTGATAACAACACAAAATCCCCGCAATTATTGGACCCCATCTCTACTAGATTCCTCGAAGCAATCTCTGCCATCTCTACATCCTTGTAAATTCGGCAAGCTCCGAGCAAACTCTGCCAAAGCACTAGGTCGGGCACCATTGACATAGAATTGATAAGGTTATAAGCCTCTTTAAGCCTCCCAGCACGACCTAGCAAATCAACCAGACTCCCATAATGCTTCACATTAGGCTTCACTCCATGCTTCCCCATCGTATTGAACAATCTCAAACCATCCTCCACCAGGCCAGCATGATTACAAGCACACAACACAGCAAGATATGTCACCGCATCAGGCTGCACCCCATCTTTCTCCATTTGCTCGAAAAGTTTAAGCGATTTATGTCCATCTCCATCCCTTGCAAAGGCCATGATCATAGTATTCCATGTAACAAGACACTTCATGCAACCCATGTTGTCAAACACACCACAAGCCTTATCCACAAATCCGCAATTTGCATACATATCAATAAGTGCATTACAAACCTGCACGTTCAAATCAAGCTTCTGGTTCCTTATAAACCCATGAATCTTTTCACTTCTTTGAAGTCTCCCATATGCGAGCACGCTGAAAGAACACCAATAACCGTCACCTCGTTAGGCTTCAACCCTTCAGCTATCATTCTCTTAAACAAATCCAACACTTCACTAGCTTGACTCCCTTGAGCTAACCCAAAAATCAGGGAATTCCACGAGGCAATATCTCTAAGGCGCATTTCATCAAACACCAATCTAGCATACCCAAGATTGCCGACTTTAGCGTACACATCGAGCAAAGTAGTTCCTAACAAAGCGTCCGCCATGAACCCAAAGCGTATTATGTTGGCATGAAGCTGAAGAGACTCCGTAGCAGCCAAGACACGTGCGCAAGCTTTGAGAGTGAAAGAGCAAGTGAGGGCATCCACTCTGAAAGACCCACGTTGCATGGCTCTGTACCATGCGAAAGCGGCGGCAGGTTGAGGGCTTTGGAATGAGGCCACGGATAATGGCGTTGAAGTCATTGGTAAAAGGAGTTGGGATTCGACGGAAAACGGAGACGGAAAATGAGAGAGAGCCAAAGGGGGCGATGGCACAAAGATCGAGCAGTTTGGACCGGGCGCGGCTGAATTTGAAGGCGCCCGTTGTAAAGATGTAAGCTTGGAGTTGCTTTATGTGAGAGAAGGACGCGCATTTCTGTATGATCGACTCGAGATTGGCAAATCCATTGATCTGGGCAGAATATGTATATGTTTCTCTTGCCATTATTTCAAGTTTTCGTTTGAGCCTGTTGCCTTCGCTGGTTTGCACGTCGAGGACAATTTCTTTTTAATTTAAATTGTATATTTTTAATTTACATATAATATTTATAATAGATAATTTATCTTTTTAAATTTATTTTTTAACAACAAACTTTAACAATTAAATTTTAAACTATATTTTTATACATCACTTTTAAAAGTCCATTTCTACAATATTTTTAAAAATCACTTTTTCATAACTGCACCAAGCTTACCCTTAAAATTATCACTTTAAAATCTTTTTATTCAATGAAAACAACCACAGTTAACTCCTATAGCAACCTTACACCATTTTAGCAGAGCATAAATGAAACATTTGAATAAATTAAAACATTTAAAGTTTGAGCCAACCAATAGTCTAGTATGATGAGACACTAGATCGTTTAAGTAAGATCAAATGTTCAAATTTTGATATTGCGAATGAAACAAATTAAGTTGAGAGGGTCGCTCTCGCCTCTGTAATACCCGATCTGGATTAGTCGATCAATATATTAGATATCAATGTTTAATTCAAAATTAAAAATGATTAATATTTTAGGTAAATTATACCATTAACCACTCAATTATTTAGTCTTTTTACTTTTACTAGTGAGCTTTTATTTTTTTCAATCAAATCGTGTAACTATTTAATTATTGTCAATCAAACCACCTGTCGTTAACAATTGATAGGAGTATTGATGTTACAGCTAATAAAATTGACGTAATTACACAATTAGTCCTCAATACTTATATATTCTATCAATTTGATTTTAATTTTAATTTAATTTAATAAATTTAATCTTTTAATCATATTGTAACACATGTTACAACATAATTAGAGAATATTTTTAAAATTTAATTATTTATTTTCTACCCATGTGTTACTGGATTGGATAGAAAATTAATAGCAGAATAAAACTACTCGCACAAGAAAGGGAGCAGGAATCAAACTTATGCCAACTGGGCTACATAACAATGCATAAACTACTAAGCTTGACCTGCTGTAAAATTCAGCATTTAAGATAGAGAAAATAACCTCAGTGACCGAAAATGCTTATAATATACGATTTTAGCCAATTTTTTTTTTGGATTTGCGAAAATGACCAACAAATTCGCAACGCGAACTCCAATTTCGTAACCTAGTTTCCAATTTCGCAACGCGAATATATAAATCGCATTGCAATTTTCCAAATTCGCGTTGCGATTTTCCAAATTCGCAACGCGAATATGTAAATCGCAACGCGAATATGTAAATTGCAATGCGAATTTGTAAATCACAACGCGAATTTGTAAATCGCAACACATAAGTCAAATTCGGAATGCGATTTCCAAATTCGCAACATTGAATTTCAAATTCGCAACTCTATTTTTGAATTCGCAACACGAATTTAATTTCGCAACAGGTTTTAGTTTCGCAACACAAATGTTTTGGGTATAACTACGCAGCAGCAGCAACTCATAACCTAAATCCCTAAATCGCAACTCATTCCATCTCCATCTATCACTCTCTCAGGTGACATCCGTTCCTATATCCAAAGATATCCTTCCCATCTCTAATTTTTTTTACATAATTTTATTTCTATATAATTTTTCAATGATTTCTCTCTCAAATTATCAACTATCAACTTAATAAAGGTATGTTTTTCTCTAAGTTAGTGATGATATGTAGTTTATAGCTCGTTTGTTTAGTAAATTAATTTACAATTTGTAGAATGAAATCATCTAATGTTGATTATGTTTGGATAGATTTGTGTTTTGGAGGGTCATGGGAGAATGTTCATGGTGTTTTACAATATGTGCCTTTACCCATGAATCTTCAACTAAAACTGTCATTAAAAAAGTTAACTTATGAAACTCTAATGTTACGTGTTGCAAAGAAATTGAATTTAGAGCCTCTAAGTGGATTTAGGCTATCTTATCAAAGAAAATGTAAAGTTTATTTGTTAACCGACAATGAAAATGTTGAACGATTCATTGCTTACATTAGTGTTTCGCAAGAAGATGATGTTACATTGTATGTTGTTGAACCTAGAAGTAGTGAAGTTGGGTCAATAGCGGGTAGTAATCAACTAAGTTCTTCAACCCAGTTTATGGTGCTCACAATGTACAACGTTGTTATCAACCTCAAAATTTAATGGTTCCACCACAATTTCATCACCAAGAAAATTTTGTTTCACCACATTTCCAATACCAAACACAATATCAAACAATCTCAAAACCCACTACTTTCCTAATCCAAATCCCAATCAACTTTCAGCACCCAAATTTCGGTTTTCGTATTGACCAGTTAGATGATTATGAGCCAACAGAAAAATTGTGAGTATAGTGAGTATTCGAAATTGATCTTGGTCAATACCCGAACTTTGATCTTGGTCAATACTCAGATTTTGATGATGTTTCAGAAGAAGAAACAGACCTGCGTGTAATGATTTTAATATTGGTCAATACCCAATTTTGATGATGAAACAGTCACTGCCGAGGAAGATGTTGTTGATGATAATGAGGAGGAAGTTACGAATGTGAATGAACTTGTTGAACATCCATTCTTAATTCATATAACCCTGAAGAAGAAAAAGAAGAAGAAGAAGTCCTCGAAGAAAAGAAAAAAAAAAGAAAATGCCACGGGAGTATAACAGGAATATATCAGAATTACTTCAGATACCGGAACAAGAGTTGGTAAAGATAGCAGTTGATTGTTACATAAAAGTTATTCGTATCAAGAAAGATGATTTTTTTGATACAAAGGAAGACTTGAAGATAGCTTTGTATACGAAATGTGTGGAAGATGGCTATCAACTAAAAGTTAACAAATCAAGAAAATATCATTTCGAAATAAGGTGTATGATTGACAAAAATTGTACGTGGCGTATGATTGCAAAGAGGATAAAAGGTTGCGAAATGTTTCAAGTTAGGACTTTTATTGATAAACATACATGTTCAAGAACCCAAGTTTTTCCTCACCATAGACATGCAAACAAAAAGGTGTTGGGTGGTTTTTGGCTGAGTTAATGTTTTGAATGGTAGGGCATATAGGGGACATGAAATTATGACTGACATGAATGCTCGGTTCAAGATTAGTTATCTCATATTCTCAAGCTTGAGAGCCAAATGTTATGCCTTGGAATTGTTGAGGGGGTCGCCAGAAGCATCGTTTGCCCAACTGCTGGCTTATTGTCACAATTTAAAGCTGAAAAATCCTGGGTCGGTAACTCGTATCAAAACTGATAGAGATGGACGCTTTGAGTTGCTGTTTATTTTCATTGGTGCTGCGGTTAGTAAATCATTATAATTTTGTTGACTCATTTTTGTTAGTTGCATGCATTTCACATTTAAATGATTATATTTCTTGTGTATATTTGTAGATTCGTTCGTTATTACTTGCATGCCCCAGTTATTATAGTTGACAAAGCACATTTGAAAGGTCGATACCTTGGAGTAAAATTATTAGCAGTAGCCATGGATGCTAACAATGAGATACTGCCAATAGCTTATGAGGTTGGCAAATCTGAAACCTCTAATTCATGGACATGGTTTATGGGGCATCTTAGGGATTGCATAAGTCCTATTAGCAATCTGACAATCATATCCGATAAGGCAAACTCAATTGAAAACGCTGTTAGAAGGTGTTTCCCATATGCTTTTCATGGACTTTGTGGTGTTCATTTGTACAGAAATCTAAAATCAAGGCCTGCTGGTATAAAAAATCACAAATGGACATACTGGAAGGCTGTAAAAGCTTATCGGGAAGTAGATTTTAATAAGCATATAAATTGTTTAAGACGTGTTTTGCCTCAATGTGCTCAAACACTAGAAGATGTCGGGTTTGAAAGATGGTCAAGAGTACATCAACTTGGAGAAAGATATGGTTTCATGACGTCTAATAGTGCAGAATCAATCAACGCTCTAAGTCGTCATTCCCGGAAATTACCCATTACTATGTTAATGGAGTTTTTCGAGCCTATCAATAATGATACTACAAGAAAAGAAACCATGCATGTATTATTTCTTTGAATTCGTAACTTATCATATTTAATATATATTTTACTAAGTATTATTTATTTTAATTTACAGGAACATTGGAACGTCGTGTTACACTATGGACTGAAAAAAAAATAACGAAACGTGTTATGAAGTCAACGTCATGGAGAGTTGAACCATGTTCAAACACTTTGTTTGAAGTATTGGATAATAACTTAAATGGGCTTGTCGATCTAAATGCAAAGACGTGTAGTTGTATGAAATGGCAAACATCTGGTTATCCGTGTGACCATGTTATAAAAGTTGCTCTTCATCTAAACCAAGATGATTCAAGCGCATACGCTATGGATTGATACACTACAGAAGTATATCGACAGACTTATGTCGATATTGTCTACCCTATTCCATATCCTTCTGAGTGGGACATACCAATGACTTACAAACAATTTTGCCACCAATCATAGACAGCAGGCTACCTGGCCGACCAAAAAATCACGATCGTATACCGTCTAAGGGTGAAGAGAAGATGATATCAATATGTAGTCGGTGCAAGGAAAGTGGTCATACAAGGTTGACCTGTGGATCACCAATGCCATCACAATCAACTTTTCCTCTACCAAAATATGGATCTTCATCAAAATCCAAAGCCAGAGCTCATATGGTGCCAAGCAAAAGGAAATCAAAATCTCAATCACAACCGGCTTCACCTTTTGGGACTTATTAACTTAGGTGATTTTTAAATGCAAACGTTGTATTATATGTATTTTATGTGTGAATGAATATATTTTCAGTTAGACATGCATTAGTAACTTGAGTTTGAACATTGCTATGATCTGTTCAGTTGTTATCACTTATCAGATTGTTGTCTTTTATCTTTTTCAGTTGTATTTTATGTAGTCAAATATGCAACGTGAAAATCAAATTCGCAACGCAAAAATCGCAATGTGAATTTGATTATCGCAACAATCGAAACGAGAAAATCGCAACGCGAATTTGACTTTCGCGTTGCGAAAGTGTACCTTCAACAGGTAGCTTTTACCTTCAACATAATA